TTTATAGAGCTTAATGACAAAAATGGAGGAGTGGTAACCTTTGGTGACAATTTAAAAGGCTACATTCAAGGTATAGGTACAATAGGTAATACATCTTCCATACAAATAGAAAAAGTATTATATGTGAATGGGTTAAAGCATAATCTATTGAGTATTAGTCAATTATGCAATAAAGGATACAATGTCTTATTTGAAACAAATGGCTGTAAAATTATTGACATTGCATCTAATCGGATTATGTTTGTTGGTCATAGAATAGGAAACATATACATGGTGCATTTAGATTCTATTAATATGACTAACTTGTGCCTAATTGCTAAGGATGAACATGATAGTTGGTTATGGCATAGGAGACTAGGACATACTAGCATGAGTGTTTTACAAAGAGTAAATCAAGGAGATTTAGTAAGAGGATGGTCAAAGCTAAAATTTAATAATGATAAAATCTGTGATGCATGTGCTAAAGGAAAACATAAAAGAGCTTCCTTTAAATCCATTAATGATGTATCAACTAGTATAATATTACAATTGATCCATATAGATCTTTTTAGGCCGATTAGGACCACTAGCTTGGGTGGAAAACAATATTTTTTTGTATTGGTAGATGACTATTCTAGATATACTTGGGGTTCTATTCTTAAGTACTAAAGATGAAGTATTAGAAAATTCATTACATTTTCAAAAGTAATTCTAAACGAAAAAGGTTACTTCATAACTAGTGTTAGGAGTGATCATGGTACTGAATTTGAAAATCTTGAATTTACTGATTTTTTAATTCAAATGGGATTTGTAACATCCCAAATTACGGGTTAGTGACTAAATTGTAAAATTTTAGAATTTGAGGATAAAAATAAAATAGTTGAATAGTTCAATGATTTATGTGGAGATATTTCCTAAAGTTATTAGTAATTATTAAATGAAGTGAAGGGCAAAACAGTCATTTGACTTAGAAATTAATTAAAATAGGTTTGATAAGGATATAAGGATAAGATGTAGATATTTTCTCCAAAACTTCTCTTCATCTTCTTTCTTTCTTCTTCACCGTGAACCCCCAAAGGCAAAGGTGAATTTTTTTGTTAGTTAATTATTTGTTGATTTTATGGTTGGGTTTTGATCATTAGATGTTAACTAAGCTTAAGGAAAGCTTAAGTTGTCTTAAAATCAAAAGATGAAGAAGTTATGAGAGATTAAAGAAGATGGGTTTTAAGTGAATTTTTGGAAAAGAGTTTATAAGTTGAATTTGAAACTAAATTTGACTTGTCGTCAACTTAATTAAGAGATATGAAGTGATAGAATTGGATTTAGAGTATCTTGAAAATTTGGTATGATTATTGATTTCCATATGAAATATAGAATTTTAAGGTTAAAGATGTATTGAATGAGTAGAAATTAGTTTAAGTATATGTACTTGAGTTAAGAATAGAAAGGGGAATGAAACATGAAGAATTTTAATGAAAAATTATGGAATTTTCAGATTAAAATCAGTTTATAATTGACAGATGCATCGATACACTATGAATGTGTACCGATGCACTAAGACAAATTTTGAAGGTGCATTGATACATTAAGGAGTGCATCGATGCATGGGAATTTCGAAGCTATTTTGGGTACCAATGCATCCATAGTGCATCAATACACTCCTAAAGGAAATTAGAAATATGAGTTTATTAAATTCGTTTAAGTTAATAGCATCGAAGTTGAAGGTTTAGGCTTCTTATAATCGTCTTGAAAAATATATTTATGAAGATACAGAGCCTAAACGAATTCTGGAATAATCGAAGGATTAGGATTTATTCAAAGCAAGGCTAAGGTGAGTGCAATTTAAATTGTACTTATGTTATTGAATAAATATTGGCTTACGATGAGCTAGTGACGGAGTTACTATGGTAAGAAATAACTTTTAAAATGTTATGGGATTCTTATGTGTGCATTAGGATATGGAAATGGGTGTATGTTATTATATGTTACATGATCTATATGTTTATATGAATATGCAATATGTGATATATGATGTATATATGAACATATGTCAACAAGATATGACATGCATGTTGCATGAACACATGAGAAATAATATAAGTTATATGATACGATTTATATGATTAAATGCACATGTGATATATGTTATATGATATGGATCTATGTGACTATGTGAGAAAGAATATATGTCTATGAGAAGACATAAAAACAAGGTATAAGCTATGTGACATGTGAATATGAATCATATGAAAATGTTCTACGTGTAAGTGAACTATTTGTTTATATGGATATGTGATAATTATAAAAGATAATGCCCATGTTATGTGTCATGAGATCTAGAGGTATAGTTGGCATGCCAAGAGTTGAGGGTCTATGCGGTCATTCGGGATAATTCTACGTGGTCCTTCGGGACATATATGTAATTCCGTGGAACATGTATGTGGTACTTCGGTACACTTATTTGTTCCATTGTATTATGTATATGGTTCTTAAGGAGTGGTCCTTCGGGACATATGTGATATGTAGTCCTTCGGGACATAGTGGTCCTTTGGGATATTTCTACGCGGTCATTCGGGACAAATATTCAGTGCCCCTAGTGGGAATTTATATGAGCTGTGGTGACAGCATTTGTGCACAACCTCAATGTACTCACATACCTTAAGTTCTAAACATTGTACATGGGATAATAAAGAGATTTAATAAGTATATTGAATATGATATGTATATGTGATTTGTTATATGGAATAGATCACAAGATTTATGTAATGATATATTCTTTTATATGATATGATCGTAATAATTGTTCATGCATTTGATATGAATTATATGATGTTAAGTGCATTTCTTTATGAAATGATATATAATGTGTATAAATGGTAAGTATATGATTATATGATAAAAGGCATTAATGATAATAATAGGACAATGAAAAGGAAGAAGATAATCATATATGTACATGTGTGGATTTGATATATGAAATGTTTTATGATTTTTATTATATGTTTTATATACCTCAATAAGTCAACAACTTAGCGTGTGATTGTTTCACACGTAGGTTTCAAGAAGAGGAAGATTGATAGAAGTTATGCAAGACAGGTCAGTTCCTCCTATCCAAATATCATATCAGAAAAGAAATGTATAGTATGTATTTTGTAATAAGGAAAGTGGTTGGCATGTAATTAAGGGATTAAATCCGATATGTTCTAATCGATTTTGAAAAGTCATACGATTGAGTTTTGTAATGTTTTAAATGCGTATATGAAATTGATAAATTTTATATGGATTAAAGCTTAGATTTTATACTGTTCATTACTGTTCACGGTACTGTTCATATCATATAGTACTGTTCATAAGTACGTTTTTTTTCAATTTTATAATGAAGCATAATTTAATAGTATATTATTGTATTTTCTTAATATGAGTTCAAATGTTTTGATATTTTATAAGAATACTGTTTTAATAGTCAATGTGACATCTCATACTCGTATCAGAGTCGGGTACGGGTTGGGGTGTTACAAGATTAGCCATAATTATACATCACCTAAAACCCCTAAACAAAATGAAGTTGTTGAGAGGAAAAATCAAACTTTAGAAGAAATGGTTAAAACCATGCTTTGTGAAAACAATTTGCCAAAAATACTGCTTGTTATGTTATAAATCGAGTAATGATTAGGCCAATTTTAAAGAAAACTCCATATGAACTTTTCAAAAATAAAAAGCCTAACATTAATTATTTTCATCCTGTTGGATTTAAACGTTTTGTTTTAAACAACGGTAAAGAAAATCTTGGCAAATTTGATGCTAAAAGTGATGAAGGAATTTTTCTGGGTTATTCCTTAAATTCTAAAGCTTATCAAGTATTTAATAGAAGAACTTTAGTGGTAGAACAGTCTATACATATTGTTTTTGATGATAATCCTCTTGCGAGGAAGGATTCTTGTGTTGATGATGATGTAGGTATTGTAAATACACATTATGTTGGACATGACGTTAGAGAACCATCGTCAAAGGAAGAAGTGAAAAATGAGGAATCTCATGATGCTCTCGAGAATCCAACCATTGAAGAAAGGGAAGTCTCTTACCCAAGAGAATACAACTATGTCAAGGATGGTGAAATTATAGGTGATCCATCTAAAGGGGTAATAACTCGATCTTCTCTTAGAAATATATGTAATTATGTTGCATTTATCTCATGCATAGAGCCTAAGAATATCCAAGAAGCATTAAAAGATGAAAATTGGATTATGACTATGCAAGAAGAGTTAAATCAATTTGAGAGAAATAAAGTATGAACATTAGTTGAAAGGCCTAGTAATAAATCTACTGTAGGTACTAAATGGGTATTTAGGAACAAGCTCGAAAAAAGTGGTAATATAGTGAGGAACAAGGCTAGACTTGATACTCAAGAAGAAGGCATATACTATGATGAAACATACGCTCCCGTAGATAGGATGAAGCAATAAGAATGTTATTAGCATTTTCATGTTTCAATGAATGTAAATTATATCAAATGGATGTTAAAAGTGCATTTTTGAATGGTTTTATAAAAGAAAAAGTGTATGTGGAACAACCTCTTGGTTTTGAAGATTCAAAATTTCCAGATCATGTTTTTAAATTGACAAAAGCTTTATATTGTTTAAAATAAGCTCCTAGAGTTTGGTATGAAAGATTGTCAAACTTTTTAATAGAAAAAGGTTTTCAAAAGGGAAGGTTGACATTATATTTCTTTTAAAGAGAAAAGGTAAAGATTTATTAGTAGTTCAAATTTATGTTGATGATATAATATTTGGTTATGTGCTACTGCCAAGAATTTTCTAAGCTACTGCAAAGTGAATTCGAGATGAGCATGATGGGAGAGATCTCATTTTTCTTGGGACTCCAAATCAAGCAAAGAAAATATTGCATCTTCATCAATCAAGCAAAATACATCAAGGATATGATCAGAAAGTTTGGATTGGAAAATGGAAAACCCCAAGCCACTCCAATGAGCTCATCTACAAAGCTTGACAAAGATGAATAAGGTAAATGTGTAGATGTTAAATTGTATAGGTCAATGATTGGCTCTTTGCTTTATCTAACCGCAAGTAGACCAGACATTATGTTTAGTGTTTGCTTATGTGCTAGATTTCAATCATGTTCTAAGGAATCACATCTAAAATCCATGAAGAGAATCTTTAGATATCTTAAGGACACTCCTAGTTTAGGACTTTGGTATCCTAGAGACTCTAGCTTTAGCTTGTATGCCTTCTCTGATGCGGATTATGGAGGATGCAAAATAGATAGGAAAAGCACATCCGGTACTTGTCAATTCCTAAGAAATGTGTTAATTTCATGGTTTACAAAGAAACAAAATTGTGTTGCATTATCTACCACTGAAGCGGAATACATTTCAGCCGGTAGTTATTATGCACAAGTTTTATGGATGAAACAACAACTTTTAGATTATGAAATTAAAGTAGGTACTATGCCTATCAAGTGTAACAATACTAGTGCTATTTGTCTCACTAAAAATCCCATCCAACACTCTAGAACTAAGCATATTGAAATTTGACATCATTTCATTAGAGATCATGTCACTAAAGGAGATATAGTTCTAGAATATGTTGATACTGCATCAATTAGCGGATATTTTTACAAAACCTTTAGAAAAAGAGAGATTTTGGACACTTAGGAGAGAATTAGGTTTAACAAACCTACTTTGACTTAGTGTTTAAAATAATTCTAGCACTTTTAATTAAAATTGAAAAATGCTTATAAAAATAACACTTTTGATTGCATTCTTTGCTAATAGTTAGGTTATGATCTTTAGTGAAAATTAATTATATGTTCAAATAAAATTTAAGGATAGTTTTAATTGATTGAACATAGTTAATTTTTGAAATATGAGTTGCCAATACCACTAGAGCTAATTATTTTAGCATTCTAAATGTTTAAAACATATTTTGGACATTTTTGTGCAAAGTGTATCGATACATATGTATCGATACATCCTCTCTATATATCGATACACTATGAAAGTGTACTGATGCATTCCTTGAATGTGTATCGATACACTCAAGAGTGTACTGATACACTCGTCGGGTTTTAGGCTTATTATCCCTAAAATTAATTCATTTTGCCAAACCCTCATACTCAAAACTCTCATTACTGTCGCCCCTCTCTCTCACCCTACTCTCAAACATTGCTCAAATCCAACGTTTCAAGTCGGAATCTCTTCATTTTTAACAAATAACCCTGCTAACAATCATTAAATCGTACGAACAACATTAAATCTCTCTCAAATCCGAATTTCCAAGGTATATTTTTTAAAACCAATATTTTATTATTTTTCAACTTAGGACTAGTTTTAATTAGTTCTAGGTTGAAATATATATCGGGCATTTGTTAGATTGTAGTCTAGAACTATAATCTACAACTAATTTCTTCAAAAACAACACTATTTTCAAATTCTCTTTAAATTTCAAAATAAAAAATTGTGTTTTGATTCTAAAATTGTTGTTTTTGATTTAATTATGATTAAAAAAATACATATTGATTTTCAAACATTGTTTTCAAAAATAATTTTCAAATTTGCCCATTAAGATTATTTTAGAGAACCTTGAATATTGAGGACTCGTATTGAGTTTTGGGATTGATTGTATTGCATACATGTGTTTTTAAATTGCAGGTAACCCTATCCATTTCGATTCTAATTATGTCTAAACCCCCTAGGTCATCCTCTAGTCAGTCTTCAAACCAACCTCAAAACTGACCTCCCATTCCACTTCCTAATCCAAATCCAAACGAACTTGAAATTACTATCTTAAATTCATGTTTTAACCAACCTGGTCATAGAGAAAATCTCTACCATAGGTATGTTAATTTATTCCAGTCATATAAAATCCGGGAAGAGCATATTCCTTCTATCCAAGCCATGGTCGATATGAAATTTGAATATCTTCCTACCCTCCGATCGTGGAAATTTGATAAACTGTTTTAGCTCAAACCTATCGTTTATTATCAACTAGTCCACATTTTCTATTCCAATGCGGTTTGTGTCCAAAACGAGTCTAGTATTAAAACCATATGTATTCGGTCTTATCTCTTAGGCCAATTTGTCTATATTGACTCCGACACAATCGCTAATATTTTTGGATTAGATAACGTGGGATTAGATAATAAATGAGAAATTGTGGCTACTCCTTATATAGCCAAATCTAGTGCAAGTACATTGTTAACCTATCACGAGTGTTTTCTTCACTTAATCATCTCTTGGTGGTTTAGACCATCCGGAGGTAGATATTCTACGCTTAGAGTACTAGACCTTTGGTGGATACGTTATATCCAAAATAAAAAGAAAATAAATCTTCCACAAATCATCTTTGGTGAGCTAGTAGAAACTGTGAACAACGTTCCCTCCAAATGTAGAAACTTTATTTTATGGTTGTCTTCTTAGCAATTTGTTTATGAAATTCAATATAAGGGTCCAGCTTGATGTAGCCATCCCTCTAAAGAACCAAATAAATTTCACAACTTTGAAGAAATCGTGTAGGTCCGGGGACAATGATCAATGGGTTCGATCCACCAGAAAACACCGGGAGCTAGCTCTTCATGAGCTCCTCTGACACCGGTAGCGGATGATGATCCAGAGATTGAACAAATTATGCGAGATATTGATGATCATGTACCCGAGGATGAGCGACACAACAAGAGAGTCCAATACCTCCATATTTTCAATCATTTATGGAGACATTCGACTTAAGGTTTACATCCATAGAGTCCCACTTAACCGCTATGGGGCTCAACAATTAGAAATTTTGCGGGAGATGCGCGCGAACAACGAAACAACGAACGAACGAATCAATGCGCTCACACTCGAAATGGCTGTTCCACGAGCACATTTTCCTCTTCCCGATCCACCGATGAATTATTAGACCTACCTTTGCTTTGTTTTCTTAGGTTGATTTAGAAATTAATTGTTAAAACATTTTGATTGTTTTTGGATTTGTTTGTTATGGATGTTTGGATGATTGAACTTAGATGTTTGGTTTTAATTGTTTGAATTTGGTTTGAATGGTTAATTTGAACTTAATGTTTTTATTAATTTTTGCATCATTAGTTTAATATGACCAATTACCATTACATATTGTTTATGAATATTGATTATGAACTAATGGCTAATCTTTCTCTTGATTGTGATTTTAGCAGCTTAAGCTTTTATCTAAATATCAATTGACTAATTTTCTTATACACTTGTTTAAAACGTTTTATAGAGTTTTTTTTTTATTTAACAAAAACGGGGAGAATAAAGTAAGGGGGAGTAATTTTCAAAATTGATTTCAAAAATGATTTTCAAAGAAAATCTTAAAATTACTAAAATGTTTTGTTATATCAAAAAGGGGGAGATTGTTGAAAACATTTTGATGTTTCGATATAACAAATAGAGTATAAATGATTTTAAGATTTTATATCCGATTTCAAATATTCGATTAAATTATTCAAATATCATAAATATTACTCCAAGTTTTTCAAATGTCAAATTTAATCCTTACTTAAGTGTAAAATTGTGTACGAGTCTTAAAATATTTTTGAAACAATTTTTACAAAGTATTTCGAACCTTAATCGAGCCAAAAATGATTTTTACAAAGGGAGGTACCAATACACTCTTTGATGTATCGATACACCCCCAACATCAAATACATTTTGTGTATCGATACACTGGCTGATGTACCGATACACCCTGGCTCCGAGAAACATCGAATGTAATTCGTGTACCGATACACCCCAAGTGTACCGATACACTAGGTCAACCAACGGTCGAAATATTTGAATTTTACACTGAGAGTACCGATACACCCACGTTCCCAACTGATTTTTTTAAATGGTTTTCACACCATAACGGCTTTATTGACTTCACCAATGATCCCCAACGTTCAGAATCAATTGAAGGTGTATTTAAACAAGCTCAGAAGCCATTGATCAAAAAGAAGAAACTAGTATTGAGAGACAAAGAGAAAGCATCAGTTCTTATTTTTTGAGCATTTCAAGCCTATTTTTCATTCAATATTCATTTTGCTTTCAAGAACACTAATTGTGCTCAATTGTATTATTTTTCAGTGTTCTTCCTTTGTTCTAGAATTATGCAAACATCTTGCCTTGTGAGGTTTTTTTATAAGTTTGCGAAATTTGTATTCTTCTATTTGGGAGAGAGTGTTCTCAAGAATTTGGGGTATAATTCTTGAAGGAGTTGGAAGGTTACTCTTTGTCCTCATAAGAAAAAAAATTAGTGATTTTTTTGGAAAATCCTTAGTGTGGATAGCTAAGGCAGTGGACGTGTCGAACTACTCTAAATCGCTGTGCAAATATTTTCAATTTTCTGCAAAAGCTTCCACCAAAATTTTTATTGCCAATTCACCCCCTCTTAGTCGATCGATTAACTCAACAGATGTACTATTTTTAGGACCAACATTCCACCCTTCACATCGACCTACCTGAATTTTCAACTGTTTGAGGTCAGTAACAATTCTTACAGCCTGGGACTGATGGTTTTTTAACACAAGTGGTACTTTACCCCTTTTTGTAAATGTGAACACTTCCTTATTAAACACAACATGTCGAGATATGTATACTCGACCATCAGCAACAAGACATTAAAATCCTCTATGTTATGGACTAACTCCCATGTAAGAACATGGCTTTGATCTTGTCGTAACCGTCTTTCGGTTGGGCCACAGAATTAGGCTTCAACTTGAAAATTGTGATTGGAGTCGCCACCAATTATTTATTTAAAAAAAAATAGGTTAATCGGATACCTTATATCTTACCTGATCTGCGTCTTACCAAAGATATGTCGGATTCGGGAGTCGGTTACGGTCAAGGAAGGATTAGCACCCTTGAACCGCCCTTTCGGTACTACGTAATTTCCAGTTGTTTTTAATTAAGAAAATCGAAAGTTAAAATTTAAAGGTAACATATGATCCAAAATTGCTTACCTCCGATCAATTTGAAAGAGTACCCTTAAAAAGTCGAGAAACGCGTTAAAGGAAAAAGGAAAT